TGGGGATGCCGAGGATCAAAACAAGGAGTGAAAACCCATGCAAAATAACTTGGTACACCCAATGTTACAACCACCTAATTAATGTGTCGGTTAACCACACACGCTCCATTGATCTATGATTAACATCAATCTACCCTTTTCCACGCACTGTCAGTCCCAGATTAGTGTGCTGGTTAACCACACACGCTCCACTAACGACTTAACAGGGTGCAAAGTGCAATTTCATGGGTTAGCACCATATTTACATTTTTCCTAAAGTAACTAAGATTGGGAATTTAATAAAGTTTAGTTACTTTATATTTATCATTATACTTTTAATGAAAGGAGAATTAGAGTCCTGTCCTACCCGTTCGACTAACGACCCTCCACCAGTCAAGGAAGCGGTGGGTGAAAGTGGACACCCATTAAACTGTCATTTTAGGCAGTAACCTTATACCCCTTAGAGACTGGCTTCGTGAATGAGGCCTACTAACGGTAAGATTAACTTTTACTCTTATACATATATATAAATATTAAACCTATAATATTATAATGGTATAAGGGTTGACTTTTAAACTATTAAAATTCTAGGGTTTGGAACTAAAGTATACATGAGGGGTAACTTTACAAATTCCAAAACTTGAGGGCAAGTTTTGAACAATTCAAAAAAAATTTGGAATCCATAACATATGAGTTTAATATAGCTTTAATGGAGAGACTCTTGAAAATCCACAACTTGAGGACAAGTTATGGAGTTCATAAAACAATTTATGGAAAAAGACTCTTCAAGTTTATAACCTATGGCTTTAATAACTTTTTAAAGGAAAAACTTTTGGTTTTACATAACTTGAGGAAAAGTTATGGAATCCATTAAAGGCCACTTAAATCACCAAATAAACTAACAAACATGTCTAGCAATATTCATGATCTAGATTAAACACATATGAACAAGACAACTCAAATCAAACAATTTTCATGTAATTAGCCTAACCATTAAACTAATACAAAACATAAAACTTTTGACAATTATCTTTTGAATTGGATTAGCATGATCATTACCACATCAAAAACAGGTTTATAGGTCCAAAACATTTTAGGATAATGATCCTAGTCCAATTCCAGCCTTAAAAGTCGAAAAACTGCACTCTGGAGCACCAACTCGTCGAGTTCATGAACAAACATGTCGAGTTGGTCAGTTTTGTGCTTGGACTCGGCGAGTCCATCAGTGGACTTAGAGAGTCAAAGGCAAATTCATGCGACTCGGCGAGTCACCCAGTGGACTCGGCGAGTTCGCTGTCCAGAACCCAGAAAATTGATTTTTTCAGCCTTTTAACACAAGTTGCATCAAGTATAACTGAAAACAAGCCTAGGCTCTGATACCACTGTTGGGTTTTGAGCATTCTAACACTCCTATGGTGTACATGCAACCCTATATACCTTGGATCTTTGTTTTCTCTATTATACATGCAAATATCAATATTCAAAGGTATCATCCTAACTAGCATACAAATGAGTAAATACAATACAATAACTAGTAGAATGACATACCTTTTGATGTAGCTTGATTCCTTGGACCTTAAGAGCTTAACACCAATAGTATGAATGCCTTAAATGAAGTCACAACACACCTTTGGACAATGGAGGCTTTTGAGAGAGAGTTCATGCACACAAAATCGGTTATAGCCTTCCAAAAGCTCACTAGGGTCATATATTGGGCTCCATGGGATTGTTTATCTTATTGGGCCTTATTGGCCCTTGAGGTGTCATTTCGAGTTTGGGCTATCGTTTGGGTTTATGTTGGACCAGCTATGGATATGTGTTTTGGATTAGGAATAAGTTATTGGGCTTTAGGGTAGGGCCCATGTAAGGGTTTGGGCCCAATTTTGAAAATTGGGACATTAGTGGGCTTTTATGGATTTTAGAGTTTTGGGCTTTTTTGGTTTTGGGCTTGAAACCTAGTTATGAATCTTGTTGGGCTAGGGGTAAAATGGTTATTTTTACCCCAAGTATGGATTATGGATCATGGTTTGGGACCCAATTGCTAATTGGGTGATATTTTGGTATTGATAGCCCAAGGAGTTGCAAGGGAAGCAACTAAGGATTTCTTGCAGTGAACTTCAGCTGAGTGAGGTAAGTTACCTTCCCTGTATGAGTGGGTCGAAGGCATCAATGTCGGCCCACTAGTAGTTGTTTATAGTAGAGATGATTGTATTTGTGATAATTTTCTGGTATGCCACTACCTGTAGAGATTTATGTGCTTGTATGTTATGTTATTATGTGGTAGTGGTAGGAGGGGTGAAATAGACCCCGTAACCGATTGCAATAAACCAGAGGGTGGGTTGGGCACCCATATATGCCTGACAGTATGCTTATGACATGTTGTTATGTGGTAGTGGTAAGGGGGTGGAATAGACCCCGTAACCAGTTGAAATAGACCAGAGGGGAGGTTGGGCACCTATATATGCCTGACATGGGTAGGTCGGACACCCAGGTATGCCTGACATGGGTAGGTTGAGCACCCAGGTATGCTCAGTAGGGTAGGTCGGGCACCCATATATGCCTGACACGGTAGGTCGGGCACCCTGATATGCCTGGCAGTATATGATTATGTGGTATAATGGGGGAACTCACTAAGCTTCGTGCTTACGGTTTTCAGTTTTGGTTTCAGGTACTTCTTCTTCGAAAGGAAAGGAGCCGGCATGATTGCAGCGCATCACACTATGTTTTTCCGCACATTAGATCTTTGGGAGTTGTACTCTGATATTATTTTTCTATGACATGTTTTGGTTCTTTGACATATTGGTTTTGATTATGATATGGGTTGGCACTGTGGATGTTTTCAGACCTCTGTGTTTATAATTACCTAATTAAAAATGAAATTTTTGGTCATGAATTTTGGGATGTTAGACATAGACTGTTACATCAATTTTCTCTTACAAACAAGGACCATAAGATAAAACATAATCTTTACACATGGACAACTTCGGTAATTTTCTCAAAGATGTGAACCATATTTTATAGGGACCATTTTTATAAATTTCACTTAGGTCATTACATCATTTTTGCACATGGACCATTTCTAAAAAAGAAATTCAAAGGCCCAATAGGTCACTTTTTAAGAGTCGTTTATATGATTTTCTCAATTGTAAGGTCAATAAGATAAAATATAAGTTTTACCTATGGACACTTTTAATAGTTTTCAAATATAAGATCTTTAAATAAATTTGAAAGGGCCATTTTTGTAATGTTCAAAACATAAGGGCCATCAGATAATTAATATATATATATATATATATATATATATATAGATATATATCTATATATATATATAATATATATATAAATTCTTATAACCCTTAGCAACAATATTCTTTGTGTCCTTTAGACTTTTGCCACAAAATGTTTGTGGAATTGACAGGTTTTCCCCTTATCTGAAAAAGGAGTCTTTTGTGGTTCCTTAGTGAGAGTGGAAGAAGTTGTGTGCGGAGAATGTTTAAAAACTCAAACCTTGAATTAACTTATGATCAATGTCTGTTGCTAATATTAATAGTTCAGTCAAATCTGGTAAACCATTCTTGTCTTGAAATAAAAAGTTCAACAAAGTATTCAAGTATTAAGAGTGATTATAAACAAAGTAAAGAAAATTTAAGAACAAGGAGAATGATGGAGAGAAATGATTTGACTTGCAAGATACTTAGTATTTTGTGAAAGAGAATGTTCCTCAAGTGTTACATTGCATGGAAATTACTTCTCCTTAAATATTCAAGGAGTGATAAAAAGGATAAACTGACAAGACTATATGAACTATGTAAAGCTTAAAAGTCAAAAAGCTGGCACTCAGGAATTTCTCGATCCTGTCCCATGAAATTTACAATTAACAAAGACTAAAAGACAAAAAAACATTAAACGTTATTACAAACTCAAAATAGCACTGACTACAAGGTGCTTCTCGGGCTTGTCTTCAATTCGGAAGTAGCTTCATTTCAGAACACATCACATCTCGGAATGCACTTGAATTCGGTTTTGGCTTGGCTTCGGATTGCTAGAGGTTCACTTTCATGTATCAACAATCTCCCCATAAGTGAACTTAGCAATCAAACAACTCTTCACTTAGCTCCATCAAATACAAAGAGATAGGCACTATGGATCCAACTTCGGACGTCTAAGTACCATCTGAGATGCCTGATGAACTTCTTCTTGACATGCTCAGGTGAATCACTTTTGGCAGCATTGGAATGAACTTCTGAAGGATCTTTGTTGGAACAAGGTGTTTTTCAAGAACTCTAAAGAATTCTTTTCGATTAGTCTTCTTTTTGAGATAGACATAACCAAGTTTCAGGTTCTTCAATGGGGCTTTTAGCCAGGATCAGTGCTTCAGGGAGTTCGGTAGTGATTTTTTTCAGAATCTCGATTCCGAATAGGTGAGCAAATTCAATGTCAGATCTGCAGAACTAAGCAATATATTTCTTCATGAAATTTATTGCAGCATTGTAGACTTCAATGCTCGTTTCACTTGATTGGCAATCTCGAAAGTGAGTAGCTATAGTGAGAATGTCATTTGGGTTGATCGAACGAAAGTCTACATCCTTGATAGTGATGGTGGCTTATTTGTTCCGAGAAACATAGTATATGTACAGCATGCAATTGAGTTCAAACTTGCTCTGAAATCGTTACCATATCCGATGATATTTGTAATCCTCTTCCAGGACCACACTTCCTTTTACGGTCGTGCATTAACGGAGTAAAAGGTTCTCAATCTTTCACTATCTGTTCTGATGATTCTTTGAGGATCATCATTCGGATGCAGAGGAGCATACTTGATATAGAAATAGCCATGAGGAGAGATTGGCAATTCAAGTTGATCAGCATCTTGTGTCGGAAGATCATAGTACATGAAAGGCACGAAGTGTATGTCGTGAAAAAGTCCTTCTCGGAAAAGAGAAGATATGCCCAACATCGGATTCAGATTGTCTTTTAGTGCTTGAATCTGAATGCTTTCTTCCAAAGCTTGATCGATCTGTTCATGAGACTAGCTTCACTGAGTTGTCAGAGTCTGTTGGAATCTTTTTGCCTTTATCTTGTGGAGTTTTGCTCATGCCATAAAAAGAGGAAATGATTTGTTGGTCAGATTCGGTGATGAATAATTCAGATGGGGGAGGAATCAGAGGCTCTTTAGGGAGATCATCAGGTTTCCTGCTTGGAGAACCTTCATCGATTTGAACTATCTTCGGAGCCGGAATTGGTGGAAGCATGGATTGAGTAGCTTGGAATGTGCCAACAGTCAGCTTGGTCTTGAGCTTTTCCATGTCCCGACTTCATCTGAACACTTCGGCTAAGGATGATGGCGAAGAAACAAAGGACTATTTCATCCTCTTGTTGGGTTTTAGTATACTACAACATCCTACG